AGAAGGTGGAAACTTTAGGAGGCAGCTCACCCTCCATGGATGCAATTACTGAATGACTGAATAGGGCTATAATTGGCATTGATATTGCTTCTCCAGAAATGTATTGGAAATATTAATGTAACTGGAGGAGAGAGGGACCATTATATTTAAGAGCAGCACAAAACTGGAAGCAGCACAGAAAGCAATCATGACTCAGCATTTCTTCTTTATCGTGACATTCTGAAAGCTTCAAAGACACCTCCACAATTAAGTCTAAGTGTAAACCATGTAATATGCAAAAGTTTTTGAACTTTCGTTTGAGTTCTTCACACATTTAATATATGGTTCACATCCGAAAAAATGTTAGGAGGCTGTTATATTTTTTCCAAGGTGTTGTGTGTGCTGTAATGGGCACGTGAAGTCATCAAAACTTTTCCAATTTGGTGTTGCCATGAAAATTGTCATTGGCAATAGAAAGGTACTTAATATCCATAATCCTGTCAGGCACTGTGTCAGCTACAACTGTGTTGAAGAAGTGGAGAAGGAATGAGAATACGTATCGCTTGATGTACAGTGGGCAATCCCAGAAGTAATGAAATCACCACCAGTTAGTAATGGGAGTTGCCATAAATAATTATGACGCATGTGCTGGAAAGGGATTCGCCATACAGTTGCTATCTGCTTTCAGAATGTTGCATGGGAAGCCTTGCAGGAGGAAATGCTCGAGACTTTGCCAAGGCCTTCAATAGCAAAAAAAGAAAAGAAAAGAACCATATGGGAAGACCATATGGAACATCAAGGAGTACATTTTCACCACATGATGACAGTAGAAGATCTGTGATTCTGGACAATTAAGAAGATTTAACTGTGCATAACACTGTGTGGATGATGTCACTGGTATTTATGAAAAAGGGAACTACAATGTGGGCAGACTGGAATTTCAAAGGGTTATTAGATGAACTTCCCCCAAAGAAAGACAAATCAACCAGTCCCCAACATCTCTACAAGTTGTGGCAGAAACTATTAAAAGATCCCTCACAAAAGCAGAGTGTCAGCTGAAGAACATGGCAAAACATAAATCGGACATATGGTTTGGCCAGGGGCATAATGCCAGTCGCCAGCGCCCAGGGTGGGTGCCCGCGCATGCGTGCCAGGCAGGCAAGGAGTAAACTCTCCAGCCTTTGCTGCCACCAGGTTGGCGCTTATGCTCATGCACCAGGCAGGAGCAGGGCACTGAGGGTGAAGGGTGTCCTCCACGCTCTCCAGCCCTTGCTACCGCTGGGCGGGTTATTGCATACCAGGTAGGGGCAGGAGGTTATTGGTTTATTTTGTTTTTGTTTTGATTGTGTATTTTTTTATCTTGTATTTTTATACTGTGAACCGCCTTGAGATCTACAGATGAAGGGCAGTATACCAATTTAAATAAATAAATAAATAAAGGCTACACTATCGTCTAACTGCAGCCATGGAAAACATATATTTCAATAAACTCTACAGCAATTGTGGCATCCCTTCTGAAATAGTTAAGGAGCTTCAGGCATTCAACCTCCAAAAATGAAGATTTGACTGAGGAAATGAGGAACATAGGAACATGGCAAACTATGCAGAATCATACCATTGATTCATCTAGCTCACTGCAGTGGTACCTCGGGTTACATACGCTTCAGGTTACATATGCTTCAGGTTACAGACTCCGCTAACCCAGAAATAGTACCTCGGGTTAAGACCTTTGCTTCAGGATGAGAACAGAAATCGCACGGCAGCAGCAGGAGGCCCCATTAGCTAAAGTGGTGCTTCAGGTTAAGAACAGTTTCAGGTTAAGAATGGACCTCCAGAACGAATCAAGTACGTAACCAGAGGTACCACTGTATAGTCTATTTTGACTGGCAGCAGCCTTCCAAGATTTCAAACAGGGCTCTTTCCCTACCTGGGAAATCCCAGCAATTGAATCTGGGACATTTTGCATGCAAAGCAGTTTCTTTACCACTGATTTCCCCTATATAGTATCAATGCGTTTCTGGAATTTTTAAAGAAAACTGAATCAGGTGAGCTTGGGGAAATAGTACTGGTTTACCTACATCCAGCTAATTTACATGCTTAAAACTTTTCTCACTGTATACACCTTGGCAACCACAACTTGCAGACAGACAGACAGACAGATAGATGATAGTCAGATGTCAAGCTTCTGTTTTGTCAGCTGAATTATGACTGATGGCTTTTCTGACTACAACAGTTTCAAAAATGGAGGAGACTCACCCTGGCATTACAATATATTTCATACAAGGGGCTCCTATCAAAGAATTTTCCTGATATTCCCAGAAAAATATTTTAAAAATATTTTTATTTTAAAATATTTTAAAAATATTTTTAAGGGCAGTGGCAACTAAAAACGACCTAAACTCTATGTACACATCCACATGCGCCCCATTATATTTTAAACTTAGAGAGGCCCATGAACATACACTTTATTTCAATGAACTGACTTTTGTACAACTTCAGAAAGCTTTTACAGAGTTGTGATTAAATACAATAAACTCTGCTTATAGAGATGGGAGACACAGAGGCATACCAAGAAACAAACGTGTTTGCATTAGGGGATGTGCTGAAGTAAAGGACCTTATGCATTATATCTTGCGCTGCCCCTTATATAATGAAGCAAGAGTACGATTTTTAGCACCTATAATGACAAGGTCCCCTGGCCAGAACCCCTCTGACATGATTTTATATCTCCTCACAGACATAGATAAGTATGTGATCTGGTGTGTCTTTGCAACTGCCGCTAGGAAAATTAGAGCAAATTACCGTATTTTTCGTCCCATAGGACGCACCGGCCCATAGGACGCACCTAGCTTTTTGGGGGGGAAATAAAGGGGAAAAAATTTCCCTTTATTTCCCCCCCCAAAACCAGGTCGGGGAATCCAAACCAGGTCGGGAAACAGCGGGATGGCGGCGCTCCGCCTCCCCGCTGTCCCCCGAGCTTGTGGGGCTGCCCGATGTCTGCCCGAAGCGCGGGCCGCTCTGCTTCAGGGCGCCCGTGCGCCGAGCAGCAGGCTGCTATCCGCAGCCTAGGGAGCCCTGCGGGAACTCCCGCGGGCTCCCCAGGCTTGCCGATAGCTTCCTGAAGCCTGGAGAGCGAGAGGGGTCGGTGCGCACCGACCCCTCTCGCTCTCCAAGCTTCAGCGAAAGCCTGTATTCGCCCCATAGGACGCACACAGATTTCCCCTTCATTTTTGGAGGGGGAAAAGTATGTACTATAGGGCAAAAAATACGGTATATAGCCGAGATAGCCACCAACTGTAAAGGAGATGAATTCATTTGACCCTATCTACATCAAGCTATATTCTATCTTTATCACCAAACTCCGAATATAATTGCACATTGTATTAAAAAAAAATTTAAATATATTAGTGGCCATGTCGTGATTTCAGCCTATAAATTTTATTGTTTAATGTCTTAACCTGTATATTAAGGTACTTTTATAGCTCTGTTTAGAGTAGGTAATGTCTTGATAATATAATTTTTTTAAGTTTTTGCATTAATCCAGCATATTTTAATTGTTGAATGATTCTGTGTGCATTGCGGCAGCCTTTGCCTATGTGCAATAAAACTGACTGACTGACTGACAAGGGGCTCCGTCCAAATGTCAAACGGAAAGGAATTTCTCAAGTTCTGCTGTTGACCTGACAGTCAACACTAATATTGCAAGTTGTCTAACAGGATTTTAACATTTACCAATTCAGTATCTGCCAAACAGAGCTGGGCATGAAGCCATTCCATGACAACAAGCATTTTGAGCCACGTGCAAAAAGTTTCCACAAACAGGAAGGTGTTACTGCTGAACTTTGATTTGTGAATGTTAAGAAAATATCATGCAGAGTTGAACACCATCTTTGTAAAGACTGAAGAACGCTGTTAGCCATTCCAATAGCATCTAAACAACCCTTGTTTCACTATTGTGCTTGAGTTTACAATCTTCTATAAGGATGCTGTTGATATAATAGGGGGGGAAATACTCTCAGGCTGCAAACCTGTCCCCATTTACCTGGGAGCAAGTCCTACTGAACGCAGTGGGACTTACTTCTGAGTAGATATGCATGTAATTGCAGTCAGGGTTGTTTCTAAAGTGGTCTCAAGGCTTTTGGGGAATCCATTGCATCTACCATGGAGGTCCTGATACAGGGGGAAACTACTACTAATAATAATAATAATAAGAATTTATTGTTTTACATATGCTCAGAGGTGGTTATTATAAATTTACATATTCTAGGACTCAGCCCAGGTGCTAAAAACAGATTCTGGAGCAGAGTATCCCTCCCCACTTGCTTACTTGAAATATTGCAACCAGAAATGTCCACCAAATCGTGAGTTTATTAAAAGAAAACAAGGCCATAAAAATGGTCTGCAATTCCACTCTTTCCTTCAGTCTGTTGCCACCTTTTGATCTGGTCCTATTAGAAGCTGGGCCCTTATTAGCAGACATTGGTAGGTGGCAAGGTGTATGTGTATGGAAATGTTTGTCTGCTTATTTCTGCGTATCAAGCTGTTGTTAAAGGAACAAGTCAGGTCAGGATTTCCCCCCCTGATCAGTTAGCAACCCTAGCTAGGACCCTCATTTAGACATGACCTGTAATATTGTTTTTAAATTTACTCACTCATGCATTGAACCTTTATCTCATTCTGTTCACCATTATATAGTTGGAAGTCAGGTTATTGTGCAATTGTTTTTCTGTCCACTTGTTGGGTTGTTAACATGCAGTCTGGCCCTATGCATGCTTTCTCTGATTTCAATGGAATATGCTCATAAGTAATTGTGCAGAGAACTTGCAACCTCAGTGGAATTTCAGTCGTGAAACTTTTTTCTTCAGTTCATAGGTCTGTTGTGAAAAATAATTCCCTCCCCCCACATCAGTCTTCTAGAACAAGTTTTCGCAATTTCAATAAATGAAGAAAAAAAATTACTCTACAATTCATCAAAGATGAAACAAGTCTAAATAATATATATTTTTTAAAAAGAAATCACCCCCTTGACTCTATTTCCAAAGAAAGCTGCAAACCACTTCATTTATTTTCTTTTTTGATTAAGCTGTGCATAGTATTTGCTATGAGTCTGCCTGGCAAAAATCCTTACATAGCTCCTTTATCAAGGAGTCTCTCAACAGTAATGCTTAAAAATGCTACTGTGGGATATCCACGTTTGTAAAATCTGTTACAATTCAATATTTTATCATACTATAAATTGGCAATTGTTTATCCACAGCATGAATTCAATTGCTAGTTCCCTAGATTAGACAAGTACTTCAGCAGTGAAAGCAATTAAGCAGTAAATAGATTTTGAGCTTTGTGGGGGCAGGGGACATTACCTATTTTGTCTTTGTCAGCTCTGGAAGATTGCTTGGAAACTGCAGCTAGTGCAGAGCAGGCTGCCTTGAACACTTTCATCAGCAATCCAGTCTGTGCCCTAGCTTCCTACAACCGTAGTCTTTTACACACATGCGCACACATCCCACTTGAGCACTGTAGCCGTCCTGAGCATTCTCTGAAAGCAATTTAAAGACCTGTCTGCATCAGTATTTAGCGACTTGAATTCATGCCAGTAGGAAATAGAATTTTCACAATTCCCTGCATTTCCAACGCTCAGGCTATGTGTGCAATTTATAGCATTGACCACAACACAAGAGGGAGGTATCAGTAGGAACGGGAGACTGCAGAAGAATTTTTGAGGGAAATCTACATATGATCTATCTAGAATCACATGTATTGTCCATTATGGGCCCTGAGCTCCTGATGAATCATAAGTCCACATTCACTTCAGAGGAAGGGGTATTCCAGCTGAGGATTTAGGACAAATGGTACTGGTGTGGCACTCACAGTCAAGCAGGAAGAAAGGCTTGAAACCCGTCCTTTCGTCTTCTTCTTCTTCAAGCTCTTCAGTGCCTGTACCTCAAGAGGCACCTTCCATGCCTCTGCCCTTGAATTACTAGAATGAATTTCAAAATTGCGTAAAATCACATACAAATCACCCACCCTAACTCAGTGTGTAGCATGGGTTGCCAGTGTCTGGGGAGAGCACAGGCCTGTCTTACCCATAGAGGCTAGTGGCGCGGGGCACCAGGGCACCAAGTTATGGAGGGTGCCAGGCAAGAGTCCGGGGAACACCGAATGAGCGCGCTGAGTGAGGGAGGGTGTGTGCGCCACTCCCGCCGAGCGTCGGCTCGGTTTTTTCCCTTTTAGCCTGCAGGCACCGAATTCTGCAGGGCGCCAGAAAGCTAAAACCCGCCTCCTCCAGCCGGTCGACAACTCTGGGAAAGGGGGGGCGCCAGAGGGATCTTTGCACCACAGCGCCAGATATGCTTAAGACGGCCCTGGGAGAGCAAATCACTGACACTATCATAGCACCCTGCCTCCCCCTGAGCCAGGTGGGGTCGCACTGTGCTGCCTGCCTGCCTGCCAACACAGGGGGGAGCTCAGCCAGCCAGCATGGCCCTTGGTGGGCGAATCCCCATGCTGGGCCAGGATGTGCTGGGGTAACCCCTTGCCCACCTCCTTCCATCTGTGCCTGCTCACTGTGGACCTGGGCTGCTCTGCCGTCTTCGCCAGGTCAGTACAGGGATCCCTGCAGAAGCCAGTACCTGGTTGCGCCCCCTCAGAATTTTGCACCCAGGGCCCCCACCACCCCTGTTCTCCTGTGCTACACCTCTGCTCTAACCGCAGCATCCAGAAAAACCTTGGAAAGGGATCTACACTACATTCACACCAAATGCCTACTGAAGTGTCCTTTGGAATATACATTGATGACTCTCTAATGTGAGCACTGCAAGATTTAATATTAAAATACCTTCCTCAAATGTCCTTTTGGAGTCATAATTGTTCCTTAAATTACTGGTAGGAATGTTAAACTACTTTCCAACAATCTGACATGATTGCTGAGGCTGAATCCTTTTTGTTGCTAGTGGTCCTCAGTACCTTCTGGAATCAGCCGAGGTCACAAGAAAGACCTTCCAGGATCTTGCACCCAGTCAGGAACCCTGTTTTGAACCCCATTAATTGGGAGAGACAGGATGTCACCACAGATTAACAGCGTTTCTATTGCATAGCGCACCTAAATTAAACTACATGGAGCTGACTAAAATTCAGTCTGACAGTTGTGAAATTATTACATATTTTAATATGAACATGCTAGCTCCATTGTGCTCAGAGCATCTTCAAAAGCTTGCAAACTACTTCAGAACACCTGCAGTTGCCGATAGCAAACAAAAAGATCATTATCACTCAGAACTTGCTTTTATATAGCCAGTTGAACCCACAGCAACACTGGTGAAAGTCACCAAAAGAATATGTTCACTGTAATTTGATACCTAATAAGGTGTACAGTCAAATGGTATGTAGTCCTGCTAGAATTTGTCCTTGTTTCAAATTGTTGTTTGAGGGACAAAACCACTTCAAATACTTCTTTTAAGGGATTTATTATTATTATTTATTGATTATACAGTAATCGTCCACGGAGTTGTTCCAAGTTCGTTGGATTCTTAGCTCAAATCCCTACATGGCGAGTCTGTTGAGGGGAATGGGTTTTATCTCCCTAGTTGAAAGATTGGGAGAGGGTGGAGATGGAGAGGAAATGAAATGAAACAGTTTTGGGGTTTTGGGCCATCAACCTGTGGGATTTGTACATAACAGGATGTTGAATGCAGTGGTAGTTGTACTGAATGTGAAATTTGTATTTGTATATAACATATATTGATTTTTGTTGAGACAAACTGCTTTGAAATTTCCTGAAAAATAAAGCACAACAAAAGTTAAATTCATCCTATTTTCTCTTTCACAAATATCAACAATTTTAATATGAGAAAATAAACATTAGAAAATCACATTTTGGGAAAATTTCTATCATAATCCTTTACTTCCACATGAAGGCAACCAGAGGACAACTTATTCAAAGCAGAATTCTAGTAAGCAGTGTTTAATAGCAGAGGTTGCTAATTACAGATGTATAATAACTTTTATCATAGTTGGCTCAAAATCATTGCTAGGCTTATTTCTTGCATACATGAGAAGTACAAATATAAAGACTGCGAACTTAAAAGTGCTATAAAAAGACAAATGATGTATTTTATTATATACGAGAAGCACTTCAGGCTCCATATGGGTTTTATTTGTACTCCAGCCTGACATTTACTGGGGCTTATTGTTCTTGGAGCTTTTAAAATCAGATGGTCACTTTTCAGATACTTCTAACAGCAAAAAAAGCCATCCAAATGTTATTGGACAGTAAAAAAATAAAACCATTGTCAAATATTTATACAGTGGTACCTCAGGTTACATACGCTTCAGGTTACAGACTCCGCTAACCCAGAAATAGTACCTCAGGCTGAGAACTTTGCTTCAGGATGAGAACAGAAATCGTGCTCCGGCGGCGCAGCAGCAGCAGCAGGAGGCCCCATTAGCTAAAGTGGTGCTTCAGGTTAAGTACAGTTTCAGATTAAGAATGGACCTCCGGAACGAATTAAGTACTTAACCTGAGGTACCACTGTACAGCCTAAAAAACCAAAGGTGCAATCCTAACCCCATCACTTTTATGTCATATTGTATTTTATTGTACTGTCTTACTGTAAAATACAATAAATAAGGAAAGCAATAAAAACACAATTTAAAAACATACAGCATATAGCACAGCACATTACAATTGCTACAGCAGGCAGAAAAATCATTAAATGATCGAATAAGGCCCTCAGCAATTTTTGCGTAGTCCTGGGGGTGGGGTGGGATTTGGGAACAACGGGGTTGTGCCAATGGAAGTTAAGCCAGTGTGAACGACAAAAAGAAGCATGCCAAGGGCTGGGAATGGGCATATTGAGGTGGGGAATGAGGTGAACCAATCCTAACTCCTATCATTCACTTATCCCACTTACAGAGATTAGTGCAACTAAAACCATCATAAATGCAAACATTACTAAATTAATTCCACAGAAGTCAAGAAAATGAAAGCTTACACTGCCTCACACAATCCTGCAGGAACAGTTAGGATGCTACTTAAACTACACAGGAGATAGGCCATAGGCCTGGCGTAAAAAGGTAAAGGACCCCTGACAGTTAAGTCCAGTCACGAACGACTCTGGGGTTGCGGCGCTCATCTTGCTTTACTGGCAGAGGGAGCTGACGTTTGTCCGCAGACAGTTTTCCCGGGTCATGTGGCCAGCATGACTAAGCCACTTCTGTCGCAACAGAACACCGAAATCAGAGCAGCGCATGGAAACGCCGTATACCTTCCCGCCGGAGCGGTACCTATTTATCTACTTGCACTTTGACATGCTTTCAAACTGCTAGGTTGGCAGGAGCAGGGACCAAGAAACGGGAGCTCACCCTGTCGTGGGGATTCGAACCGCCGACCTTCCGATTGGCAAGCCCAAAGCTCAGTGGTTTAGACCACAGCACCACCCGCGTATAGACCTGGTGTATCTGCCTGTTTAGGGGTTTCTCTCCATTCTCTTTATTTTACAATTTTAATAGTGTTGGCAATGTTAAAAATACAGTCAAAATACAGCACAGTTTCTACTAGGTAATCCTTTTTTATTTTTTGATACCAACAGCCCGGAGGGTGGTACTTTGAAAGCTAACAGCTGAAAGACTGCATTTAATGAGAGATCGGATGTCAATTTTCTAGTAAGACTAAAAAGCATTTTTATTAGTCTTCTGTAACTTACTCTGTAAAACCACTTCAAATACTTGTTTTTAAAGATACTGTCATATTTGAACCAAAGTACTTCAGTGCTTGCAGCAATATAGAGAATAAATGCAAATCACAGGAGTCTATGCGCTTTGCTAACCAACTGAAGTGTCTATGGCTGCAATCCTACATGCACTTACCTGGTAGTAAGACCATCTGAACTCTACTGTATAGGGCTTGCTCCTGGGTAGACATAGGATTGCACTGGTACAATGCATGTGGAGGGAGGATTAAGCCACAAAAAGTCAGGACTCTAGGGAGTTGGCTTGAGGACCCATAAAACTGAGAACTTAGCGTTTCTATTTTTGAAGTCCGCATGTAAAATATAGTAAGCATTTTATTTTATTCAGCAATTGACTATTTCACTGAAATCCTGCTGGACTTTAAAATAAAACTTTGATTTAAAAAACCAAATTGCCTTTGCAAGTAGGAAAATGGCACAAGCCATGTTCCTAAATTAAATAGGTTAATCATGAGATTCTGTAATACAAAAATGTTTGGCAATCTTTTTGTTGATCAGGTGGAGAGGCACTGTTTAGCTGCCTCTTTCAGAAGCAAGTTTGGTTTAAGACAAAGGTTTTCAACTGTTATGTACTGAGTTGAATAGGATCCAAAAGGCAGCAGTCTGATTGGTCCTAGAACAATAGGATTCAGAATGCAGCAGTCTGATTGGTCCTAGAACAATAGGGCCCAGAATGCAGCAGTCTGATTGGTCCTAGAACAATAGGGTCCAGAATGCAGCAGTCTGATCGGTCCACAGGAGCCACCCAATCCAGCTCCAGGTGGAAGTGAATCCGCAACCTGATTGGCCTCCAGGTGAATCCCGGAATTAGCCAATCACGTGGGGCCCATTGTGTAAATAATGTATATAAAGCAGACATTCTAGGGAAACTTCCATTCCTCTTCACCACTATGAGCTGAATAAAGAGCATGAAATCCACTCTTGCCTCCGAGTATATTTCAACCTTTTTGAGTCCGTGGCTCCCCTGACCAACTACATTCTTTCTGTGGTACCCCTGCAGGGCTCAAGAGCCCAGTTATGCCACCCCTTTGCCTTCAGATCTGGCAGCCTCCCACCCTTTTTTGAACTTCCCTTAGCCTCCTCTCCTCTCTCCTTGGGAGTCTTCTGGGCAGCAGCTGCTTTTAAATAAATAAATATTACTAAATTACAATTATTAAGTGGGCCAGACATGCCGCTCTTGGGAGATGAATCTAGATTTTGGATTTTTAGCCACAGCTAAAAAGTGCCTGCTTGTTTTATCTTCCCAGAGAACTGCTTCAGAAATGGAACAAAGTACTTTAATATTTTAAGGTGTTTGGATTGTTATGGTTTTTTAATGTTGCTATAAGTTTGTGAGCCTCTTTGAATATGTACAGAAGGAAGTAAACAATCTCAAAACCACCAAATAAAGTAATACAGTGGTACCTTGGTATTTGAATGGCTTGGCTCCTGAAGAAATTGGCTCCCAAACGCCGCAAACCCGGAAGAGAGTGTTCTGGTTTGCTAATGTTTTTCAGAAGCTGAACGTCCGACGTGGCTTCCGATTGAGTGCAGGAAGCTCCTGTAGCCAATCAGAAGTCGCACCTTGGCTTTTAAACCGTTTTGGGAGTCGAACGGACTCCCAGAATGGATTAAGTTTGAGAACCAACATACCACTGTACTGGAGGGCACTTGTCGTAATGTGGTTTACAAACAGAGAAAGAGGTGTGTTTTTTCCTTTCTCCGTCAACTGAGGGAAAAAATAGCCTTTCCAAATTTTCTGGCTTAGGCCCATCCTAATTGAGGCTTGAAGAGTACCCTGTGCTGCTATAACAGTGAGAAGTAAAATATAGAAATGGGGAAAAGCAATCAGCTTCAAATAACAGATGGATTCTTCAGTAATTTCTACTCACTGCAGTAGCGATTAAAGAAACTGCACTTTCCAAGGAGGACACCAGTATTTCAGGCATATACAGTCGTACCTTGGAAGTCAAACGGAATCCATTCCGGAAGTCTGTTTGACTTCCAAAATGTTTGGAAACCAAAGAGCGGTTTCTGACTGGCTGCAAGAAGTAGTGGTTATGAGCAGTAGACTCGTAATTTGGTGAACCGGGTTTGAGTCTCCGCTCCTCCACATGCAGCTGCTGGGTGACCTTGGGCCAGTCACACTTCTCTGAAGTCTCTCAGCCTCACTCACCTCAAAGAGTGTTTGTTGTGGGGGAGGAGGGGAAAGGAGACTGATAGCCGCTTTGAGGCTCCTTCAGGTGGTGATAAAGCGGGATATCAAATCCAAACTCTTCTACTCTTCCCATGACATTTTGGCTGCTGCACCCACCAACATTCTGTGAACACAGTAAGAATGGAAAGGGAACCTGTCACACAATACCTTTGCCATTAGGAAGACTATAAAGATTCTGCTCCCGACAAAGATCTCTGCTGAGAACACTTATTCATATGTTCCAGAATAAGCCATCACTAGCACCTGCAGTTTTTACTCTTTTGCTGCCATGCATGCTCGGCTTCATGAGCAGCCAACTGTTTTGTGAGTGCATGCGTTAATGGCAAATAGACATGTCAGAGACCCACAGCGAGTTGTAGCTCTGGCATATAGCTACTGTTATTTGGTGAGTCCCTAAGTCACCAAAAGTTTAAGACCCATCAGGTACCCTCACCTGGTTTAGCTGGCCAGTCAAAGGTGTTTCCCAGGGTGTGGCTGCTGTCACATGCTGGCAGCTTCTAGGAGACACAAGTGAGAGCTAAACGCCCAAGGTGGACAAACTACCCCAGAAGGAGCATGCTGTGCTCCCACCAGAGGCACTACCCCTCCCCTAACACCCCAAATTTTATTATATATATTACAGTGCTGGATTTACGCATAAGCTGAACAGTCTATAGCTTAGGGCCCCACTCTCTTGGGGCCCCCCAAAAAATTTAAAGGAAAAAAGAACAACTGGATGTACATTTCCAAAAAGTAAGAAAAAATAAAAATAAAACCTACATACAGCAAGAGTATTTTGTGTTGTGTAGGCTCCTATGATGCAAGTAATGGGCCCCACTTGCTATCCTGCTCCCTAAAATATCACTTGTTTGCTCATTTCTATATATAGGGTGCCTACATTCTGCTATTTTTAATTATTAGTAGTTTGCATCATATTATTATTTCATGTTATAGCAATATATATATATATATATATAGCAATTATATATATATATCTCATGTTATAGCAAGTTTCTGGAGACTAGATTATGAGTCTTTGTAAATTGTTTCTAAAAGAACTTT